GCTGGCGCATCAGCGTAGATGGCTGAGCTGGCACATCACCGTAGATGGCTGAGCTGGCACATCACCGTAGATGGCTGAGCTGGCACATCACCGTAGATGGCTGAGCTGACACATCACCGTAGATGGCTGAGCTGACACATCACCGTAGATGGCTGCCTATGATTTTGCACAGTACTCTGCATGTATCCATATGTATAAATCAGTCTTTGCAATGCTGTATAGCATTATTTTATCTTTACAATACATTTTTTGAAAGTCTGTTATTTCCTGAAGTGTGTGTCTGACATAGAGCTAACAATGTAGCAAGCAGTCTTGTGCTTTATCTCAAAGCTGCTCTAACTTGTATTAGGGTGTCCAGTGTGTTTTGGGTTGATCAGATGAAGTTCTGTGACTCTTGGTTAAACTACGCTAACTCTCCCAAGGGGTGCCTCCGAACATGTGAATGGAGTTGCAAGCTTACGCATACTTTATTTCCACAAGATTTTGGTTAGCGGTGAGCTGTCTGTGGCGTGCACTTAGCTGTTCTGTATGAAATGCAGCTCACTCTCAAAGGCTGAAGGTCAGCCTTTAATGCCTAACTGCAGAAATCGACGGTATTGATTAACCTGCCTTTGTCCATCCAGTGCTTCGACCTGGAGTCATACCTGCAGCTGAACTGTGAGAGAGGAACCTGGCGCTGCCCTGTGTGCAAGTAAGACCTGCCTGTCCCTCTGTAGGGGCTGGGCTTGCTGCGGGCCGGGCGTGTTGGGGGCCGGGCGTGCTGGGGGCCGATTCCTGACTCTGTGTCGGATTTTGTTTGTTGCAGTAAGACTGCTCTTCTAGAAGGCCTGGAAGTGGACCAGTACATGCTGGGAATTCTCATCTACATCCAAAAGTGAGTCTGTAAACTCTGTTTGCCAAGATTGAATGGCGCCAAAGTGTGCTGAATGTTGTCTACCATGTTTCATAATATGTCCAGCAGGAAATAAAGAAAAGGGAATTTCCTGTTTGAGTTTGTGGAATGTTCTGAAGCAACTTCCGATAAAACACAATAAGATACTCCAGAATGTTTCTGCCTCCTTCCCGTTTCCGTGTTGTGCTTCGTTTTCTTTTATCCCCTCCTAGTTTCCTTTATCTTTTATACCTTTTTCCCCCTTTTTCCCCCCTCAGCTCAGATTATGAAGAGATCACGATTGACCCAGTGTGCAGCTGGAAGCCAGTTCCGGTGAAACCTGACCTACACATCAAGGAGGACCCGGATGGGCCAGCCCTGAAGCGCTGTCGAACCTTGAGCCCCAGTCACATGATCTTGCCCAGCGTCATGGAGATGATTGCTGCATTAGGTCCAGCCTCCTCACCATACCCCTCTTTACCACAAGGTGGCAGCAGTAACACACCAGACTACCCGACCCAGAGTAAGAACCTTTTCAAGAACCACATTTATCATCTGTTAATCCAATTAAGTCTTTTTATGTTTTCATTCCCAGCTGAACTATAAGCAGCTGATTATTTCCACTGGGAGCTTTAGAGAACGGAGCAAATCACTTTTGCAGGATAAACAACATTGCCACAGTATAGGATGTGCATTACCCCACAATTTAACACAGCCATAACATCATTGTTGGTAGACTGCTCAGAATACCCCATGTAGCTACAAAAACAAGCAGTGAATATTTATTCCTTGGAGCATTTCCACTCGCTACCACAGAGGGCGCCAGACTCCGTGCTTCCTGCTTCAGTCTGGATCTCGCTGTTTCCTTTTTTTAGCTGGATCGGCATACCCCAGCCAGCAGGGGTTTTCTGACTTCCCCAATGCCCCTGGAACCCCGACCCTTGCGGAGTTCTCCACAGGGCCACCTCCACTGTCCTACCAGTCAGACTTGCCCAGTGGTCTTCTCACCCCCGAGAAGCCAGCGGGGCATCCCATGCCTGCACAGGTGAGCAGATCTTCCTCCCCCTCCTCCTCCTCTTCCTCCTCCTCATTTACTCCTTTTTAGGTTCTGGTGGTACTGCTTATACCACAAACATTTGCTCTGGGGTGTCAAGAAAGTAAGATCACCCCCCCCCCCCCCCCCCCCCCCCCCCCCCCCCCCCCCCCCCCCCCCCCCCCCCCCCCCCCCCCCCCCCTCCCGCCAGTGTTTGTTGGCACCAGGGCTTCTGTCAGTAACCAGAATAACATGATTCCTGTGTTGGGCTCGTCCCTCTAACCAAGCAGAGAGTAACCCATAAGCTCCCAAACTTTCTTTTTTGTTTTAATTATGTCTGAATCTCTCATTGAAAGAAATTGTACGTGCACTGTGGTGAGAACAGAGTCCTTTCTGCAAAAGGGCAGTAATGGATGCAGCTTCTCATACTCATTGCTTTTGGTTTTTTTTCTCCTTGTGGTTCTTTTTAGGTTTTTTTTCGGGTTAGTGATTGTCAGACGTCCTGCCGCCCTCTTTCTGGAGAGCTTCTTCACTGCTTTTGGAGGCCACAGCATCCACTTGTCACTCTCAGCTGCTCGGGGTCCTGGTCATGTTCAGGCCTACCTGAGGGGGGCAGCGTTGCTCATTTGCTGGCGGCTTTAGTCCTGTGTGTGCCGATGGCAGACATTCCCCAGTGTCACCGGTGTCAGCCATCTTGGTTCTCCCTGTTTCCCGTCCACTTCACCTCCAATGTTTTGCTCTCTCTCTCTCTGAACCCAGATGGCCCACCCTGGTCGCATGGACCCTTCCCATAATCCTCTTCAGCAACAACAGCAGCAGCAGCAGCAGCCGGCGCCACCGCAGCAACAACAGCCGCCTCAGCAAGGCCTGCATGGCGCTCCGCACCTGGGGGGGCCGGGGGGACCCATGCACTCCCGCAACCCCTCACAGAACCCTCGCGTACACGCGGACAACTCCTTTGGGCTCGGTACACCAGGGGCCCCCGGAGAGGTTCCAGAACCTTCCCTTGATGTGAGTCATTGAGTGATTGCCGTCGTTTTGGTTACACATCCCCAGTTGTTCCCTGTTTGTAATGGGACGTTTTCTCACTTTACTGGAATTCTCATTTTAAGCCTTTCTCTATAACAGAGTGTTTTTATGTAGATGATGCCCTTCTGGTTGCATACGCACCCACCTCTAATAGGTGTAACACTCCTCTGTTTGTAAGCACGGGTTCGAGAGTCCGGCGCACCATGTGACCTCTGCGTCCATCTCCCTCCAGCTGCTCCCAGAACTGACGAATCCGGATGAGCTGTTGTCATACCTTGGGCCACCCGACCTCCCCAACAACAGCAACGATGACCTGCTGTCCCTCTTTGAGAACAACTGAGTCCTAGCAACTCTGTCTCCTGTGGTCCTCTGCAACACTCCAAAAAAGAAGGGGGGGGGGGGACAAAACGCCCAGCATCTTTGGAGAATATTGGGGCTGGTTTGGGTTGGGGGGTGGGGGCTGTACCATTAGTCCAACTCCAGCCCCTCCTGTCATGAATCTGAAAATCTGGTGGGGAGACTGAAAGATGTTTTTAGAAAAATAATGTGACTTTAACTGCCTATGAACTATGTTAACAGATTTTCCTGTTCTATTTTTAAGATATGAACCCCTGCTTTGTTCACTGATTCGGAGGAATCCAGTAGCTCGTGGATGGAGCTGTAAGCACTGGGGAAACCATATGTCACATCAAACGCTTCACGCGGTTAGATATCAAACGAGACGAGTTGAAAAGAGTTGACAGTTCTTTTTTTAAACCAAGAGAGAAATACGTGAGGAAATGGGCATTTAGTATAAATGGGAGACTTTCTAAGTGGGGGGGAGCACGGTGATTTATCAGGGTCGGTCTGCCTTCCTTCCTGCCATAGAGCCGTGGCAGGCCGCGTCCCCTGTCCTCTGACAGCTGTACAGTCACCCACACGTCCCAGTGTTTGTCAGAGGTCTCTGTCGTACATCCGGTACCGGTACTGTGTGTGACGTTCAGCAGCTGGTTGGCGCCGCCCAACACATAATGTTCAGTGATCAAAATTTTACTCAAGGGCATCTATCTGACCAAGGCATCTTGTATAATGAGATTAGTCCTGGAAATCCATTTGAAATGGTTCCCAGTCCCTGACAAACCAGTGTGACCACTTCTGATTTTTTTTGTTTTTATTTTGAAGTAGTTCTGCTGAATCTTTTAAACCAGAAGAGCTTTGTAATGGGCAGCTGGTTGGTGACCATTTCATCCCAATTTCACTGTGTTCGCTGTGGTAATTGACAGGTTTCCCATTTCCTTTGTCGTATTAAGAGACTCCTGCTCTAAAAGTTATTGCTGTGAAATACTCATTTCATGAATAGCTGTGGAAAGAGATTCTTAGGCTGAAACATCCCTCCCCTGTCCTTGTATCTGCCCCCTACATATAATATAGGGGCAGAGCAGAAATTAACAATCAATGGTGAGAATATACATGTGGTCGCTCCCAGGCCGCTGTGACGTCGGACCTGACAAATGTTCACTGCTGGCGAAAAGCAGACCAGGGCGCCCCCTGCTGGGAACCACTTAGCAGCTGGCGGGTTTCCGTCCATCGTTGTGGGGTGATTCGAGCCTGTGGAGCAGAAGGACGGCGCAGTGGGGGCCGCCTGCTGGGGGAGGGGGCTCGTATCTCTAAGCCACACCCAGATAGATATTCCTGGGACAGACATCACCCGCACAACCAGTCTGAAAGGCCAGATATTTGTTTACTTGTTATTTTTTTAAGGGGGGGGGGGTTGTTGCCCTGGTACCAATCCAGGTCCAGAGAAAGAGACTGTTAATCAGTGTGGAAAGAATCGCTGTCTTCGGTACTCCTGCGTGTCTCTAATCTGGTTCATTTACTTAGTGCGGTTTGCTTCTCCATCTTATTTGCAGGAGGAAAAAACTGGATCTCGCTGTTTCCTTTTTTTAGCTGGATCGGCATACCCCAGACAAACAAACAAAAGACAAACAAACCAGAAAATAAACTTCCCTAAATTTACTGTTGTCGTTTGAACACCCCTCCCCTCGTAGCGATATGTTCGTTATTCATCCAGACCCCTGGAAATCGTTCACCAGACCTAACTCTCTGAACTTCATGTTACAGCAATGTTTTCCCCCGTTGGCCCTTATTTAAAGAAAAGAAACATACGATTTTAAATGTTTATACCTGCTTTCATTTTTGTAACTAGACAAATGGATTTTAAGGTGCTCAGTGAAGCTCGGTTGGATCGTTGGAGAAGAGCCGTTTCACAATGGAAGTAAATGCTTACAAGATGACTTTTTTAAGCACAATATTTTTCCTCCCGCTGTATATACCCATGTAAAACACTATGAAACGTGCATATTAGCAGACCTGCGTTGTCTGCCAGCTCCTTTACGATGAGCTCTATCTCAGAGAGAATTAAATTTGAAAGGAGTACGTGTTCAGTTCTTTGTCTCGTCGGATATTATGACCGCTCTTTGGGCATTGTCTGTCGGCCGTCTGCAGTTTGTAAGACGATGACCCAGAACGTCAACAGTTATTGGATGTGCAACTGTTTTTGTTTCAGGTTATTTGTGTATCATATTCATTTTTTTTTAATTAATATTATAATTATTATTAAAGATAATTGGTGTACCCTGATGCCCCTTCTTTTATGTGTGCTTGTTTTTGGGTAAATAATGCCCTAGATATCCATCTTCTATTCGCTTATCCAGCACGGGCTCGCTGACTGTACTGTGAAGTCATAGACCGTTTAGTCCCCATCAGTCCAGTCCGTAAGTAGCAAAGCTATTTACATCACAACAATTTGCAATTATTGTGGCATTTGTAAGGTTATTTTGCAATATAGGTCATTGCGTATGTGAGCGTATCGGAAGCCCAAAAGCACCACCCTGCGGAATGGGCTTAGATTGTTAGTATGACTGTAACCAAAAACATGAGAAAAGGAGCGCCACACAGATGGGATAAAATACCGTGAAATGAGGGAAAGAGTGCTGCATAAGCTGCGGGTAATCTAGGCACTTTCACACATTAAAAACAAGATGGAACACTATAGGACTCTGAATAGATAATCTATAACTCATTTGGTCAAAGGATTATACGAGATCGGGTCCATACTATATACTGTATACAATGACAAATAGGGGTGTGGCATTTCCCCAAGACAAGACGAAAATAAAAGTTTTAAAGTGACCAAACTCTATCCAGTTCCATGGCGCCAAATGCGTGGTTTTTGCGCAGCGCCCGGGGAAATACATTTATCATTTCTTGTTTAATGTTTTATATCAACTGAACTTAACACTTGCTGCTATTTTACATTAAATACGCGCCTTTTATTCATCCCTCTACCTATGCGTTCTCGCGAATCTTTTGCCATTACACATTATTTAATATAATTGTTTACTAATAATACGGCGCTTTAATCTGAACTGCGACGATGCCCACGTAGACCAAAGGTAGTTTAAAGATGATGGACAGTCGCAGAGTCCGAGTCCGTTTTTGTAAAGTTGCATTTGTTTTTTTTTTTTGTTTGTTTTTTTTTTCTCAAAATGCACCACTTTAGTGACATTTACAACCCCGTCGCAGTGCCAATCGTAGAAATCATATCAGAAATCCGATGACTTACGGCATTTTCTGTTTCGGGCATTCAGTGTTGTTTCCTCAGAGGGGAGGGTGACTGATACTCTCATGCTCAAAACGGAAGACGTGAAATGGTCTTTCAAAAAGGTAAACCTCATAAAGCTCCCGGACCAGACGGCATCCCAGGCTGGGTCGTCAGAGCGTGTGCCAACCGGCTGGCAGGGGTGTTCACCAGCATCTTTAACCTCTCCCTGAGGCAGTCGGTGGTCCCTACTTCCTTCAAAACATCCACCATCATTCCCATCCCAAAGAAACCAGTGGTCTCCTGTCTGAATGACTACCGCCCTGTTGCACTGACATCAACCATCATGAATTGCCTTGAGCGGCTGGTCAAAGGTCACATCTGCTCCTCCCTCCCTGGCACGCTGGACCCTCTGCAGTTTGCCTATCGAACAAATAGAGCCACAGAGGATGCCGTCGCCTTGGCAACGCACACCACCCTCACTCACCTGGAAAAGGGGAATACATATGCAAGAATGCTCTTCGATTACAGCTCTGCATTCAACACCATCATCCCCTCAAAACTTGCCTTGAAGCTTGTCGACCTTGGGCTGGGACCATCCATGTGCAGATGGATTCTCAACTTCCTCACAAACAGGCCCCAGGTGGTGATAGTTGGTAAACACACTTCCTCATCACTCATCTTAAACACAGGAATGCCGCAACGATGTGTGTTTAGTCCCCTCCTGTATTCCCTGTTCACGCACGACTGTGTCACTAAACACAGGTCTAATAGCATCATCAAGTTTGTGGATGACACAGCCATCATAGGCCTCATTATGGACAACGACGAGACGGCCTATAGAGAGGAGGTGATGGCATTGTACAACTGTGGCCTGTACTACGGAGCAGGGTTACTGGCTTATCGGGGTAACTTGCTCGATTTAAGGTAGTCTGGGCAAAATGTAAGTGAGCGAATATGAAGTCCATTTAAACTGTGGTATACCTTAAATCTGACAAGTTACCCCGATAAGCCAGTAACCCCGCTTCGTAGTACAGGCCACTGGTGTCTGGATAATAACCTCTCTCTTAATGTCAACAAAACATGAGAAATGATAGTGGACTACCGGAAACGACCAGTCAGGGAACACCAGCCCATCCACATCAACGGTGTCAAGGTCGAAAGAGTCAGCAACTTCAGATTCCTCGGAGTTAACATCACCGAAGATCTCACCTGGACCCTTCACACAGACACTGTAATCAGAAATGCTCACCAGCAGCTCTACTTCCTGAGGAGGCTGAGGAAGTTCGGCGTGAATGCCAACATCACCTCAATTTTCTACAGGAGTGCGATCGAGAGCTAGCTGACAGGCTGTATTACAGTCTGGTACGGGAGTTGCTCTGCCAGTGGCCGGAAATCGCTACAGAGAGTGGTGAAGGCAGCAGAGTACATCACAGGCATCAGTCTCTCTGCTATTCAGGACATTTATCTCCAGCGGTGCCTCCGTAAAGCACGCAGCATCATCAAGGACCACAGCCATCCAGTACAACAGCTATTCTCCTTGTTACCGTCTGGCAGACGATACAGGAGTCTGTCTGCTCAGACTACAAGACTAAAAAATAGTTTTTACCATCAAGCCATTCGACACTTCAACTACAACACTTGAACACACACATCACACTTAATTGGATGCATTTACGAACTGTTCCCATAAAATACAGTCTCAGGTACACCTTGCACTTTATCTTTATTTTTATCTTTATTACTATAAAAAATAAAAGTAAAAAACTCTTACTATGTGCAATACTGGTACTTGACTGCCACCTTAAACCATTGACCACTCTTGTCACTTTATTTCATGTGTAAGAACGTTGTGTTACTTCTCTGTAATATATTGCTGAGAGACTTGTTTATTCTCGTCAATCACATTTCATTGCAATGTTGACCCTGTGCTAACTTGCATATGACAAATAAACAAAACTGAAACTGAAACTGATTTTCTATAAAGAGTAAAAATATACACATTTTGTGGACCTGCGGCTTCTAATTGGTTCTTTCCATGTCGCTCAAAAACTTAAGCTTTTTTATTGGTTCTCGTCAATCTTGGGGGGTTTCTTGCACCTTATATATTCCTGTAGCCCGTGTCATCCATTGCGAGGTCGCTGAATTCCGTCCTGGATGGTCTTTATTCGTACGTGAAGTAAGCGCCCGTCAGGTGTATCAATACACATCAACATGACTAACCCAAAAGTCTTTTTTGACATCACTGTGGACGGCAGAAATATCGGCAGGTTTGTCTTGCTGGTAAGAATCTGACGCAGTTAGTTACTATACTACTTTGAAGACTTACAGTATTTGTTGAGCTGTACAGTAAGTGATGTTTGATAAATAAATGTGTACAGCTACTCCTCGCATTTATTGTCGCGACAGTTATATTACTTACACCTGCCGAAATACGATTTCTCTATCTTCATCCATTTTCTGAAATCGGAGCTTACGGATACAAGGCAGGGAACAACCTTGGATGGGGCGTTATCCCATCGCAGGCGCCATTTACTCAGACATGCACACCTATGGGCAAAACTCCAATTAACCTCAGCGTGATTTTGGGCTGAGGGGACCGTAGTACCAGAAGGAAACCCCACGGGGAGAACATGCAGGCTGCACACACTGTGCCATAGTGGAGCCTTGGACGTCGTCGCAGATCTGCGAAGTAACAGTGCAAACCACTGCGCAACCGTGCCGTATGGATTCCTATATCCCCACCTGCAAAATTAAATTGATTTCAAGTTCCTGTTCTTGGGGGACTGAATGGTTTTATTTTGCATTTCGTGTTTGGGTTTGAACTATAGGTGGACTGCATTAAACACGAATAGTGCACTTTTGCAGCAGTAAATGGATTTCTGTCAGTACTACAGTTTTCTAACGTACAGTGAAACTGGCCTCGGTGATGTTGAGCGACCTACAAATGGCCACCTACCTTTTTCACAAAGTTATTCAATTAAAACCGACGTCATTTTCAATGCCATTCTTTGGACAAGATAGTTTTGGGTGTACGCAAATGTTAAAATATTTTTTGCCAAATATATATATGGGGGTGGAAACCCGCACTGGGATGCGACCCCGCTTCTCTAAGGCTGCACGGCCACATGAGGGGTTGCGCTAAAACAGCCAGACCCTTTTTTTGACAGGAACGACGTAGTTTGTTACAGGTGCGGGGGCGAGAAACACGCCGCTGGCGCGGTACCGATCGGGGCGCACCCGTATTACGCTGGTTACGCCATAAGGTGCAAAAACCTGCTAGTTAATTTTTTTAGCTAAATTAAAGACACCCGTGTACGTGCTCGCGTACTTGAGCTTAAACCAAATCAATTGAACTACGCGTGGCAGTTAAAGAGGATTAGATTTGAGAAATATAAGGATTAGTTATTTTGCTTGGAGTGTAATTTATGCATGTCTTTTAAATGCCTACAAGTCAAAAGACGATTGTTTGCAACGGCACATACATTCGGGTGGATCTGCAGGGCGCATTGGGACGCCAGGCGCCCATCTTAGCCTCGTTGAGCTTCGAACAAAGTGGCGCCACTTGAACAAAATGCTCCAAATTTATAAAAAAAATTGCCATGATTTAACTACTCGGTTATAGCGCAATGCCAGTTCTTGATTATGATTCAGATTATTTTGTAAAAAACCAGTTGTACTGCCCATGGTACAATATTCGACTACTTACCCCTATGGAGAGAGTAATTATGGCCATTACGTTAAATCTAGTTTTATGAAAGAGCATTAACGTACGTAAGTGAACCTGGCGTTATATGTAATTACCTGTACTCAGTGATTCAGCTGATGACAGGCAGAGGTACGGTGCATGAGTAAGCTGGGATGTAAAATGCTATTCAGAGTAACAATTTAATAGTAATTATTAAGAATGTCTGAATGGTCAAAGACCTTACAACCTTTTTGTTTTTTACAGCTGAGAGCTGATGTTGTCCCAAAGACAGCCGGTAAGCCAAATATCTTTCTGCATTTATGTATGCTGCTATTAATAGTCTTTCTTGCTTGTAGGACTGCACAACTGCATATTGATTCCATGGTGTCTTGCACTTTATATGCAATGTAATTTGTTAAAGCTCTTCTGTAAAGATTTTTCCTCCTGTTTGAATTATTTCTAGGATTCCAACAGAGAATTTCAGGGCTTTGTGCACGGGAGAGAAGGGGTTTGGATACAAGGGATCCACCTTCCACCATGTCATTCCTAACTACATGTGTCAGGTAAGGAGGAGATACGGACGCTTGTGAGATGTGGCTTTTTATGTTACCTGGAGTCTGTTTGGGTTTGTGTTCTGTTTTCAGTCAGTAAGTTGGGTTGCAGGTTTTTGGTTTGGGTAGTCACTAGAAGCTGTGCGTCTGGCATCACTTATGCCTGTTTTAGCTATAATCATCCTTACCAACAGGGCGGTGACTTCACAAACCATAATGGAACTGGGGGCAAGTAAAGCTATGGCCACAAGTTTGATGACGAGAACTTCCAGTTGAAGCACGAAGGCCCTGGCATACTCTCCATGGCTAATGCGGGCCAGAACACGAATGGCTCTCGGTTCTTCATCTGCACTGAAAAAACTGAGTGGTGAGGAACTGTAACACTGATCCAGTGGTGCCTGATAACTTGGGTTTGAATTCTATTGCTTGTAATTTTAAATGAGGTAGCACTTCACACTATGCACAATACTAAGGACTGCACTCCAAATTGGTAACAGGTCTTAAAACAATTTTTAAAATTGTTTTTAAACAATTTCATAGCTCATGGGAGTTTTACTTTCGCAATGCTCTGAGGGCAGAACGAAAAATTATTAGTTCAGAGAGATAGCCAATCAGGTTATAGAAGAGGTGGGTCCATGCAACTAGAGGAGGTAGGACCAACCAATCAGGTGCCTAGTCCTGCCTCCTCCAGTTGCTTGGACCCACCTCCTATACAATCTGATTATTTCTCTGAACTAATCATTTTTCATTGTATTTTTGTGTCTCAAACTCCCACAAACCAATTTCATATTTATCTAAAAGAATTGGCTCCCATTCTCCCCCAGAATTATACTCCATTTCCCATTAATCCTCTAAAGCAGGGATGTCAAACTCCAGTCCTGGGGGGTCGGCGCCCTGTGTAGCTTAGTTCTATCCCTGTTCCACCACAAATGATTCAGCTCAAGAGCTGTGTGGTAATTAGTACAAGGAGTTGAATCAGGTGTGTTAAATGAGGGGAAACCCAAAAATGTGCAGGGCTCCGGCCCCCCATTACTGGAGTTTGACACCCGTCCTCTAAAGGAAAGGATAGAATAATTGAAATAATGGCCAAGTGTTACCTGGGAAATAAACTGCCAAGCCAAGAAAACAAACTGTGGTTGAACATTTCTTCACTAGGTTGGACGGCAAGCATGTGGTGTTTGGGAATGTTGTGGAAGGATTCCATATCGTGAGGAAAATGAAGTCCTACGGCAGGTCCAGTGGAAAATGCACTGCCAAGATCGTGATTGCAGATTGTGGGCAGCTCTGAACCATCGCTCTGCATCTTTGTCCAGAGTACACTCCCAAACAATATCACTCCCTAAACCTCATAACCCCTGCTTTGATCTGTTTCTTGTCTGATCATGCTGTATTTGCTTTCCGTTTGCGTATTTTTTGTCTTATTGGATGACGTTTAAATATTTTGAAATAAAGTGGGAATTACTTCCTTAAAGGTTGCAGATTCTTTTTGTTTAAACAAGTTCAAATTTATATCTATAGCAGACCATCTAATGTGCAGCATCGTTCCCACCAGCTCTTCTGTGCTGTATCTGAACCTACGTGATTCATACTGGCTCTTGGCATTTATTATGAGTCACATCTGAAATGCATCATCCAACTTGATATACAAATGTAGTTTGAAGGTTTTCAATATTTGCTGTTCATTTTGCCTGTGCGTGTTAAATATTTACAGGGGAACTTCAGCCATTTCTATACAATCAAGTGTAAACAGAATTTTGTAATGTTTAACATAGTGTCATTACACTAGCTGTCCATCAATTTTAATATTTGAACTGGTGTAACAGTTATGGACACCCAAAAGAAAGTGATCTTAATGCTAGATTAAGGCATATTAACCTGAAACAAACCACTTTCATTAGAATCCGTCCCGCAGTTTGGAATTGATGTGTATGACTGCCACCAGAGGGCACTGTGGAGCACACTTTAGCTGATTTCTAATATGAAGTGGGGGGGGCTGTCCTGGTTAAAATTGACTATATGCTAAATGCACAGTGAGTTAATACAGATATTTACAAACATGACCCATGTCACCGAGGTGTGTCGTTCACAAAACCATATTTGCACTGTTCGCTTCTTAAACTTTCAATAGGACATTCAAACCGTGAGTTAGGCTGCTATTTAAAATGGTTCCGAAGACAAGGAAACGGAAGTAATTTATTTCTCTTATTATTAATCCATACAAATTGACAACCAGAAAAAAAATCACTAACTAAAACTGAACAATATAATCGATCTATGTTCACGAAAAGCGACCCTCTAGTAATCAGAAGGGTGTTGTGCCTTTGTGTAACAAGGATTATAAGGCGACACATCTCACTGACGCGCAGTGATTAACCCGTTCATCATTTTCATGAACTAGAAGGATCATATTTTCAAGCGCCTGTAACCTAAAAGAAACGGTTGCTGTTCATGTTTTTCTGTCATGGTTGGTTTTTCTTTAGTATCTAAATGCTTGTTAATAACTTGTGAAGATACACTATATATCCTATAACAGGCGTTATTGCATATTAAACACTAAATGTTGCATAATGATCATGAACCATATGCGCAATTGTACATGACTTTCTGAACCTTATTTATATTCACCGACAATTGCATTCTGGGAATATATGATTGGTTGGATTTCTGTTATCTTGAAAATTGTACAATATTTGGTAAATACTAATTGAAACTATCAAAAATACCTTGATGTATTAATTTCTGCTCTATAAAACTTTCCAGTATCTCGATCAATCTTGTAATACATATCTGTACACATATATATATACTTTTAAATGTTTTTGCAGGAAGTTCCGCCTATAAGCTAGAGCCGCGTCTTTCCTGCCCCTCCAGCAGCAGCCAATCACAGCCCGCATTTTAGAAGGTTCCGGGGTCCTGCTTTCGGCTTCTTTTAAGGTTCGGCGGCTCTGAACAGAGCACAGAGTTTTACATGTGAAACCCGTTTTGCTATTTCGTTAAGATATAGAATTTTATAATATTTTGTACTGTCAGATGATTTTAATCCTGTCGTACGCCGTTTCAGAGATGGTGTTAATAATCTGGGCCGTTTTAGAATAGTCCTACTAATGGAAATTTCCAGAGGCATTTGTATTATTGCATTACTGTTGAAACATATTGTCTGAAAGTCAGAAAATTTTTAATGTTAATTCCAAATGGACGTATTTATAACTGAGGGTGCAAAATTAGTGGATCGATTGTGAAAACTAGGTCCCGTTGTCACGGTTTATAATGCTCAGCTTAGGTCGAGTGATGTAAAATCCCATAACCACAAAAGAAGCTCAGAAGTCGGTTTACAGTTAGATAGGTAATAGTATACAATGTCTGCATACGATTTATACTTTCTTGCTCTGATACAGTGTGTGGAGTTTGCATGGCGTTTCATTTGGGTTCTCTCGTTTTCTTCCAAAGACACGCAGGGCTAATTGATGTCTCTGAATTATCCCTGAGTTTCTGTGGACCGGCATCCCATTTAGTCGACCCCGGACCTTGTGTCCTGTTCTGCTCCGGGCAACCCTGACCCGGAGAAGCGGATAGAACCGTGTTTCTCAACCCGGTCCGAGAGCTGGGAGGAAGCTAAAACATGTACTGTCTTAGGGTCCCTGAGGAGGAGGTCGGGAAACGCCGGGTTAGAAATTAATAGACCGACATTAAAAGTAAGGGCTTCCACACAAATGTAGCTCCTGAGTTAATTAACCATTTAAGATTCATTTTCGCCTTATTAAAATGCTTAATTGACCTAGTTACCCATTTATTTGGCTACCAAAGGAGAAGAGCTCTGAGTCACTTCGACAGGGGATAGTAGTGCGCTGATATAGGGTTTGGTAATCAATTGACTGCTGTGCCTGTGATCAGAAAGGCCAAATCCCTGTTCAGCAGAGTGATGTCACCATAGAGCCCTCCAGCAAGGCCCTTAACCCCAGTTACTCCAGGGAAAGGCTGACCCCACCTTTTGAAATGTCTGCTATATAAATGTAACTGTGATGTCTGCATTAGTTCAGCATGTAAGGCATGACATGAACACATGAATAAGTCATATGCAAGTATCAATTTAAGGCAGTTCATCCAGTATAGTCTATAGAGAACTGCACTGTATAGTCTTAATTAAACATAAAAGCCCCTTTTGTGGGTAACGGGGAATGAAACTGTTTATTCTGCTGCGAGTCAGCCCACTTCCCATGGTAAAGGTGAAGTGCTGTGAGATGCTATGTGAGAATATGAATTGTGCTGTGTTCTGTTCTCAAAAATGCAAACGTTATCTCCAGAGCTGAATCATGTTTGCTCATCCAGTATGCAATGATTTTGTGATTATTATTTAAGCACAGACTACAGCAACGTAAGTTCAGTAATCACTATGTTAATGAAAAAGATTTGTATTTCTGTTATTGTATTTCCATTACATCTGTGCACGAGTGTTACATGAAATTATGAATTGCAATTATATAAAATGTATCACCAGCAGGAATCCTTATCTTTTATATCACTGAAAAACCACCTTATTCTACATTCAGTTTATTTAAATTTATATATTTATATATTTTTTTTCTAAATGTATTTTTAATACATAACATTTATTGATGTAAAATTACATTTCTGGATAGGAATGTCAAAGTTTTGTTGTACATCACAAGCAGGAATGTCAGACCAAGCCACACAGTGTAAATTCTGTAGGACTGTTTTTTTAAATTCCTACCCCAACACCCCTGCAGCCGTCACTGCCCACAGAGCACCCACCAGTGGCACTCCGTTTTTGAAACTGCCAGTAACTATGCTTTTTGATGACGGTCGATCTCCCATGGGTTGACGGATGTGTGCAATTTCCTATTCTCTTTCAAAACAAGGTGCTCAAAAAAAAAACAAACACTCATTTGAAAAGCCTGCTTTTGAAAGTCTGTAGAAAAAGGTTCTCGGCAGAAGAGAGAAATGTCATGATTTACGCTGTTTTGCAGTCCGGTGCAGCGCACATGTGTGTCCTGCTGGAACAATCCAGCCGTGAGGGAACTGCCCCACCCCAAGCAATATAAATGTAATCTGGAGTCTCAAAATCAGGATTTTAATCCATTGGCTAGAAACCATGCAGAGATGCCTGAGAACCCAACCTGTAGCTCTGTTGCATCCATCCCAGCTCTTCCTTTAATGAGTAGGTCTATATAGGTAGGGTTAGGAGGATGGCTTTATAGTTCAGGAGGGTTAAGTAGGGAGACATCTCCGTTTTGCTGTCTTTTCTTTGGTAGTCCTGCCCGGGACCGTCCCAGGTGATCGGTGGAGTAAGGCCTCTCATACCAGCTCGTCCAGCAAGGTCCCCAGGCTGTGACGCTGCTCGTGTGGCCCAGTGATCGGCTTGTTGCACATGGGGCAGACACAGCGCACCTCCAGCCACTTCACGAGACACCTGGGTGTAGGTTTGCACACACGCACACACACGAACAGGAAGGTGGAGGTCAGGAGGGCTCTGTCACACTCTGGGGTTATGCCCCTGCAAGATCAATTCTTGACACATTATTCAAAGGCCAGATCATCAGGGAACTGATCTGCGATCAGCGCCAGCACATGGATTACCCTGCAAAGGACTTGGCCGACCTGAGGAGGGAAACTGCGCCTCAGTGCCTGCTGTGCTGAGCGGAGGTTTGCATACACAGAGCAAGCTGGCCTTTGGTTCCCTGGTACTTTAGCTTATCTAGCAGCAGGTGGACCTCAGGGTCCGGGTCCAGGCATGAGGCTGGACCAAAACGACTTGCAGCAAGTAGCTTCATCACATTCAGACATGAAGGACATTTCCACTGGCTTACAGGAACCGAGCTGCACTGCAGAGAGAGACTAGTTACAGTGTGGTTCCAGCTGACTTCGGTTTTCCACTGCAGAAGGGTTGGCTCAATAAAGGCATTGCCAAGTTTGGTGAGCGACGGTGATGTAATGCCAAAGAGATGCTTATTTACTGATCACACGGTGTATATTATGATTTATGTGAAAATGTGCAAATTTCCACTAGCACGTCTATCAGAATCACCGTCATGTTAGCATTAAATGCTAGCGCAATTAGCATTAGCTTGTGTAAATTTGCATTACGAATCCATTCTGTTCAGCTGTTCTACAGTACAAGTAGGTGGTTGGAAATTTAAGTTCCAGGTTCTGGGGATGCACCGGTACATCGTGATGTGCAATACTGCTAGGAGGGTATGTGCTGGAATATTCTGAGCACCTGCAGACGGCACAGCCACAATGGTGCACACTCACTGCACACCCACCCCTGCACACATGACCACGGACTAGCGCGTTCAAAACTTTAGAATGATTATTTTTAACCACCGCCCCCCCCCACACACACACATCCAGCTGCATCTATTTTAAACAGAATCATTCCAGATGCATGCATGTGATGCCATTTTCCCTTTTAATTGTTCAGCGGAGAAGTTTGTAGGTCATCCTGAAATGACTAGCCAATCAGGTTTTATTATGAAACTCTAAACATTCCCTGCCCAATGCCTGCGTTGCTCCCAGGAAACCCACCCCTCACCTCTGCTCCACCACTAATTGGTCTAAGGCGTCCCATCCCTGCCATGCAGAAGGGATTCCTTCAGTTTACTCAAAGCCAATGTCTGCAGTTCCTCATGCTGCATCATAAAAACACATGGTTTTACACTGGGGAGGTACCAGTGCTCCCTGTATTCATTTCCCAGTGCCTCTAAGGGACCACAGAAGGACTGGAGGTTGTGGTGTTGCAGCAGCAGCAGGCTGTAGTGAGTAGTGTGCGCTGCCCTTAATGCAGAGGGCTGTAGGGAGTAGTGTGCGCTGCCCTTAATGCAGAGGGCTGTAGGGAGTAGTGTGCGCTGCCCTTAATGCAGAGGGCTGTAGTGAGTAGTGTGCGCTGCCCTTAATGCAGAGGACCTATGGTTGCATGAACACCTATGCAGCATTCTCATGTCTGAGCTAACATCTAGGCTGCATTTGGCCCCTCCCCTGCGTGAGCTGGGGGCCGCTTGCGGTTGCCTTCAGAGATATCTGACAGACAACAGATTGCTTTCAGTTTCCTCAAAGCTAAAAGCTGTGGGCATGGAGGGTTAGGGTTACTGGCATGATTTGTTTGTTTGGCGAGCTGGTACAGCTGCACCGACGGGTAGGTGGACAGACGCGTGGATAGATAGATAGATAGACAGAAAAACAGGAGGATAAGATAGACAAATGGATGAAAGATATACTTTATTGAAATGGACAATTCTGGTATCGCCGCAGCGCGCAGAAAAAAAGTGCATAAGTGAAAAGACAACACAGAGCACAGAAGACACTGCTACAGAAATCTGTGGTGGTTTTTCATTGAGGGGGGTTAGGTTATGCAGGTATGTGCCTGGTTAGCGAGCTACCACTTCCCACTGAGACATAACACCACACAAGGCAGTCTTGCACCTGTTTAATTTCTTTCTTTCTTTCAGGCACAACTTGGGCTGCACGTTCTACATGGACCTCACTTTGCGTGGGATTTCAGCCTACACTCACATTTCGGGTTACGGTTCACACTACTCACTTCCTGTGGAAGGCATGTTGGCATGGCAACACCCCCAACTCTTCTTTTAGTCTGAAGTCCTCCAGACAAACGGCACACGTCTGCTGCAGTGACATCACAGAGGCATGAAAGGGTGAGCACGGGGGGTGCATAGATCTCACCCCCCTGTTACTTTAATCCTGTGTTTATGCGTGTATGACATTTAGCACACAGCTATCAAAGAACATGGATAAACATTTTAAACATCTGCAAGTTAAAAAAGAGCAGAGCAACCGGCTGGGTCTTACCCCATGTAGATTTAATTTCTTAGTATCTCCCTTGAATACAACCTATAAGACATTAACATCCATGGAAATAAGTCAGGGCCACAGTTGAAGTTGTCCTGTTAAGTCCGTCTTATTGTTAGCTGGTAAGCTGCCACAGGTTCAGAATACTACTATGCAATACTTAACTGGCCCATGAATGTAAGGGCCATCTAATGTTATGAACTCCAGCTGCAATATGGTGAAATCACACCTGTCATTTATACATGCAATAAGGTACATTGCATTTGCACCAATGCACTACTGCATAATACAGCTGCATGCACCACAGAGTGAATAGTTCACTGGTTTGGATGGAAGGCCTGTTATATTCTTACTGATATCCTCTAAGAAGCCCCACCCAGTGATGGATGTTGGGGTGCGAGGACCTTACCTCCTTGTATCCGAATCTCTCACTCTGAGCCTGGTGCCTAAGTTTGCTGTGGAGGAAATGAGACAAGAAGGCAACAATCAGACTGATGCAAGGTACTCAGTAGGAGGGGATGTGAAGGCAGATCCTGGCAGCCAGCCAATCCCCATTCAGATCCTTAAGAAATCAGCCAATCCCCATTCAGATCCTTAGGAAATCAGCCCATCTCCATTCTGAACGATTTTGAAATCAGGAGTGTCTAATGAAATACAAACACTGCAAGGACTGAATTTATGGTAACACTTCACTTGAGGGGACACAAATACTTAGTAGTAACTCAGTTACTACTGAAATACCAATCATGAACAAATATAATCCCTATTTAAGTTGAATGATGCATCACAATTCATTAACTCGTGCGTCATCTTAACCATCCTCTGTCTCGGTGAAATATTGCAAACGCTGCTAGTATCCAGATTGTCTGTGTAATGCGAAGGTCAGATCCACCCCTCTTTCACAGTTTGCCAAATTAATCTGATGACGTGTCGTTCGTACCAAAACAAAACCAGGCGTTATATAATGGGTTTTTAAAATTTGCTTAATTTGTTTATTTTGCGCATGAGTTTGCATTTATGTAGTCGAACAGCCGAAGCCTTGGAACTTGACATATTTCGGGTTTTTTTTAGGTGTACAACATGTGGAGGCAGATGGGCAAAGCAGGGATCCGCACAATGGTGCTTCCCACACCCGCCGCGTCAGGCCAAAGGACTGCAGGCCCGCGGCAGCTGCAGAGGAAAAGCAACTGCAGACGTGCCCGTGGCTCCATGAATCATCCGGGAATACCGGTTATCCGAGGAGGGTGGGAGAGGTTGTTGTCCGCATTCCCGGAAATCTGTCCCCACCGTCAACCATCAGCACCGGTTCACGGGTTTCCCGTTTTTTTTTTGTCAACGACGTTCTGTGAAAGGAGCCCAGGGAACAATTCTGTGCCCCGGACTTTATTTATCCCGTGTTACGGGTGCGATTCCTTTGTTGTATTAGTTTCTGCAGCGCAATTACTCACTGGTAAATTTGCACCTGGATGTAACATACGCCGTCGTAAGTGGAAGAATCAGATGATAAGTCTCCGTTTATCACAGGGCTTCTAAAATGACATTTGCCAAGAAAAGAAATCACTTTGTGTGCCTGATTTAGAAAGAAAGAAAAAAAAAGAATAGGACCTTGTTTCGTTTCAGAAAGCCATAAATATCCCGGCGGACAAAGGCAAGCGATAAAGATCCGTCCCTAATTGTCTGAATTAGGAAGCACTTAAAGGGCGCCACCAAAGTCTGCCATGTGCTCCGAAGACCCAGTGCCTTACGCCAGCTAAAACCACTTTTTATGTAATATCGTTCCTATATATACATTTATGATCCATATTCTGTAGCTCTGGCACGAACACCTCCGAGTGTATGTATGTCATTGTTTGCATGCTGTTGTGACACCTGTTATTTTCTCAGCTAATATTTACACGTGATTAGCTGGCTGTTAACTATTGATTGTATTAATAATAGGATTAGTCATAATATTAAACTGGATGAGATCGACGTGGCAAAAATGAATAAGAACGCTGACGAACGATGTCTAGACCTGCTCAGCCTTAGTGACGGCAATTAGCCGTCACGGACGATTAAAACCTTGCGCAACTTTTATTTCAGCTGGTGTCGTCGTGATTACACGGAAAGCAACAATACTCGTGGATGATTTAAGATATAGGCCTATTTCCGCAAATATATAGCTTAAGAGCACAAATATGAACATGGCATTAAAACCTCTGTCACAGAAATGTCAGACTGTTGATTTTACGCTGACCTGTTAATGACAGACTAGATAAGGAATCCTTTACACCAGGGGTGGCCAATCTCATGCGCAAAGGGCTGGTGTGTATGCCGGTTTTCACTGCAACTCCCCAATTAGATTACTAATTAGAGGACTGATTGGCTGAAGAGTCCTCACACCTGGGTTTGAACAGCTGACCTACAGGTTATCCCAAAAACCTGCCTACACACCGGCCCTTTGCGGATAAGATTGGCCACCCATGTTTTACACTGACCAAATACTTTATAAAGAGTTTAATACATGTCATAGGATGACAACTAAATAGTTTTAAAGTCCTCTATCTCAAGAAAAGATGATCTGTTTTTCATTCCTGGGTAACAGACTTGTGATATGATCATGCAAGAAAAAAAATCCAGCCCTTGTGAGTGAGAGAACCTCTAAGGGTTCCCGTAAATGTAAACAAAATGTTTCCTTTTAAAAAAAAACTGTGGGAGAAATTAGAGATAGTAGGCCAGCGAAACTGACTGCAAGCACTGATTTTTGTTAAAGGAAAGCCAGCCCAAACAACATCTCTCAGTCATCTGCTGTTCATACGCCTCTAAACAATATTCAAGCCGGCTCTGTATATGTAGCTATCTGGCTGGTCCCAAATCCTGCTCCCTCTGCCTTCTACTCAGCAATCGAGCACTGAACTTTGGTAATCTAAAGATCAAAGCCTGCTAACTGCCTTTTGTTCACATGAATGGTTTTTCCTTGAACAACTGCAAACTATTTTTTTTTTGCCAGACGGATGAAATGTAGTCCTGTGACACTGGGGCAGTGACAGGACACTGATATCCCCCCCGACCTTTCCAGTGACGTCTGTCACCGTGATTTGGGGAGGGGGGTTTCCTGCTGTCAGATTTCCTGCTTTAGCTACAATTCCTGTCCTCAGACAATGGTATCCAGGGCTCATCAGGGAGTTCATTGTTGGGAAGAGCTGACCGTTAGGCAGATGGAAGTGCCTCCGCACGGCCCGACATATGCATCTTCTACACCTTTACCAGATGTTCAAGAGTAAGAAGATGCACGTCATCCAAACGTCTTCAGAGACGGGGCGATTCTGCCTGAACTAGGGGGCAGAGAATGCTGCCCCAGCGAATAAAAGGAAATTCGGGTAACTGATGCCCTGATTCGGAGTGACCCTGTTGGGTATCCAGACCTGCTTAGGCATGTGGAGCTCAGCCTGCAGATTCCTGGAATCACTCTCCTCACACACGGTCAGGAACTTTTTGCCAGACTCCCTGGGAATGTGGCGTCCAGTGTGGCACACAATTTGCCGTGTGATTACTGACCTTTCAGGCTGGGGTTGCTGGTGGGTATTGGGGGAGGGAAGGGTCAGGTTTGGCTGAACAGCAGACATCCATAAAGAAGCTTAATTGTTGATCCAGGACTAGCCAGTGTCAACTGTGGTACAGGGCTGAAAACTGTGTGTGTGTGTGTGTGTGTGTGTGTGTGTGTGTGCACCTTTAGGGTGATGGTGGGAACACAAAGTTAAGGATTCCTAGGCTGGGAAAAGTGCAACACACCCTCATGGGAGCAAGACGAGTTGAGCAGAACAAGAAAAAGCAGAGATATTAAATTTCTATTAAACCCTTAAAGACATTAAACTGACTCCAAATCAGCAAACAATCCAGAACCGCCCCTTTAAAAATAACAAGTTAAGACTGTGCTTCTTTCGGTCTGAAGGAAGCTTTGCCTTTATTTAGGCATGGTCACGTTACAGGGCTTCATTGTGGAAGAGAGAATGATCTTATTTTCCCCCCATATAGATTTGGTATGAGTAAATTAATACTGTACAGTAATATTTAAGTCCCAAGATGGCCCTGATTTACCCCTTTGGTAAAGTACTCCCTTAAAGTGGCATTTACGAGAAAGGTAATAATTTAGGCATTCCATTCACATTTTTATGACCAGCATTTAGGCTGTAGCACAGTCAGTAAATTTCTTTGTCATACAAATTTGCTGTAAGATTGTTTCTTTTTCTAGCAAGGAGGATTACAAACCAAAGGTGAGCTGGTCCGTATTTTTTATTTTTTTTACTTTTTACATTACAGACCATTAGACAGCTATATATATAGACACGCACACACACATATACATATACAGCCGCAGTAAAAATTAAGAGACCACTCTATATTTTTAAACAAATATGCTACGCAGAGCAGCAGGTCGCTTTCAGGTTCAATATTTCTAAGACAGCAGGACGCAAAAATAAGGTGAAGCAGGAGACACTGGGAATTGGATGCAATTAAATTTTGCTAAACAAGATGTATGTAGGAGTCTTGTGACAGAATAAACTTTCTGGTATGCTCCTTAATTTGCTAACTGGTGTATTCAAACAGGCCCGTTGTCACTCCACCCCAGTTCAGCCATTACCCTATGAAGTAGCAGCAGAAGATGAGGCTCAGGATGAAGACGAAGATGCCCGTCCCAAAGATGACCATGTAGATGTCCAGAGGGATGTCTGGGAAGTTGATCGGCTGCATGGTGCAGACACTCCCTGGTCCCGGACTCCCTGCACGAGGAAGACAAATGTTGGTCAGATTTCAGCTCCCTGATGAATCATTCATAGATGATTTTAGTGCTTCCTAAACAATTGCCTGCTAGGCTAAGCTAACGTGTCTCATAGTCAGGAACAGGGATCATGGCTTGAAAGTGTAAATGGAGCATTTGGCAGATAACACCCCCAAAACAAAGGGGAAAATTAGGGTAATTGTCAGTCAGCCCATTGGGGACATAGGCGGACTGCCTGTCGACTTAGCGAGCCGATTTATCTTTGTCTAGGACGGTGGGCGAGGGCGATGAAGCTCACCTAGGTACCACATGGGGTTCGACTGGTACTGATCAGGGCTCTATAGATGCAAAGACCAACCTTCAGAAAGTTTTGGGTGCACAAATATTAAAAAAGAATGATTTTTAAAAGAACAATCAATTTAACATTCCTTTGATGTGTGAATTAAGTCCAGGTTGTTTTCATACACAAGGCATGCCTTGTTTTATGAAGGCCGTTGGTCACCCGGCCCTTTAAGGCCAAAGCGCGATGACATTCCCCTGACAAAATCAGTCTGACAGGATGTCGACGATCAGCCCCTCGTGGGTGGCCAGGCTTTCTGATCGGTAGGACGGAAATGTACTATCCTCATATCGAAAAGGTCCCATTTTGTTTCCTGAAAACAGCATCTATTCATCTGCAAACTGCTACATCTATTTCTTTCTTAAAGGCTACCATGACAACCACTGACATACACATATTTTTGACGTATATCTAAGGATCCTTATTTTAGCCAAAAGGCTTGGTTGTAGAAAGGAGATATATATATATACATACACACACATACAGACACACACACACACACACATATATATATATAAACATATTAGCACTGTATTGTGGAATTTGTCTCTTTGGAAATGGTGTGTTTTGTTAGCTCTGGTGCCTTGGGAAATCCAGCCTGATCTGTTGTTCTTCTGATGGACCAGGCAGACAAGTAAATTCCGTCGTCAACAATACACCAGGCTCACGGCTTTAGCTGATCAGGCTGGCTGACTAAAAGCATGAACAAGCAGCTGTAGACAGGCCAAGCTGCTCCTTCTCAGTTCATAGCTGGAAGTCACGCACACACAGACACACTCATACATACAGACACACACATGCACAAATAAACCCCAACATAGAAAAAGCTGGGCTCTAGCCCAACTTACATTCTCTCTGCTTCTGCAACCCCCCCCCCACATTGCCCTCTCCCCTCAAGATATATTCCCTACACATTAAATATAATCTGCTCCACACACACACACACACACACGTGTATATAAATCACATACTGTAGTGGTCTCTGATAAGAATCAAGTTGTTAAAATGAATAATTGTAATTTAATACCTTAATAGGGCCCAAAAGTGACATTTATGTAACAGTATTACTGTTTGTGATGCTTTTGGATATGCCCATTTGATAAGGAGAGAGATTAGTTCTGCAGATATTGTATTATGTGGTTTATGGGGTATTTGCATAGTCTTGGCCCTAGAACAGGGTCCAAATGGCTAGAGAACAGTAACTAAGCAGCTATTCCTAAAAAAAAACAGATACTGCCCATTTTGGTTTTAAGGTTTTAAGCATCATCTTCCTAAACTGAATGAGTATTTTAGTGAATGCGTACTTGTGGTATTAATTAATAGGCTTGTGATTGTGAAATGTATGTATAGCCATAAACAGCCCATTCATTGCACTTTTTATGTCCACACCCCTCAGTTTGTGTGTATTGAATGAACAAATGAAAATGCTATTGTGTCCTGGGGAGAAAATGTGTCATGCTGCGGAACTGACATGTTCTGACGCAAGGACATTCGACTGAGCTATTGGACAGTACAGACCTAGAATCACATTCAAATTTAGGGTCATTCACATCCCTTCTCCCTTCGCCTGCAATATATACCCAAATATGAAGCAGTGTCACAGAGTTCAAGGTCGTATTGATGGGCCTGTTTGACAAAGCAGGATTACTTGCTTAGCCAGATAACTTGCCAGATTTAAGGTAGTCTGGGCTAAATGTAAGTTGATGAAAATAAGGTCTATTTAGCCCAGACCACCTTAAATCTGGCAAGTTATCTGGCTAAGCAAGAAATCCTGCTTTGTGAAACAGACCCCATGTCTTCCGGCAAGCTTGTTTACAAATATGTCGGTCATTACTAATACACTGATACAATAAACACCTGCAATTAGCAAAGGTGATTAATGCTATTATCCTAAGACTTGTAATAGCGTTTAATCTTGGGTTTGTGAAAAAATACTTCACCCTGATCTGAATGCATTCAAGAAGGCACTCATAATAAAGGTTGGATATCCAAGTATGACAGAAAAATATCAATAAAGAGACTCGAAAGAGCGCCAGTGATTCAGTGAGATGTGTTTCAGGTTGCAATAGGTATTGTCTCGAAGCATTAATCCCTCACTGCCACGGATTGTGGAAACATGTGCTGTCAATAAGCTACTCAAATCTTTCTGTCACTGGTGAAGAATTGCAATAAACGCGGATAAGACAAAAGATCAACCCAAAACCAACAATCCCATCAATGAAAGCCAGGTAACCATAACGTTTGCCCATAATTCCTTAAGTACAACCCTAACCCTAACATCAACCCTTGCTGTGCTGCGTGCTTCTGCTAAAATTATAAAAAAATTATGAAGCTGTAAATCAGAGCCCACTGTACGTAGTCACTGTTTGTGGGTTGCTGGGACTGTTTCTGGGGAAACGTCACTGGGACGAGTCTCTTCTATTCCCCGCCAAAGATAAGAAGTATTTACAGGAAGTCTGGAGTACTCTTCCTTTCTGGGGTCATATAATTATTGAGGTAATTACATAAATGTGCAACTAAATCTAGAGTGACTGTTACACATTTGCACTGGTGGAGGAATGACTTAAGTGACAATCACCCTATTTTTTTTCACCCCCCCCCCGGCCAAAAAAAACCCAAAACATCTGTACTTTTAAGCTTTGTACACTATTTAGATTTGGTTCTGTGATAATGAGCAAGTTATGCGAATGGATATTCACTTAAGAAATTAAAACTGCTTACTGCAGCCTCCTGAGATGTGAACTGGCGGAACCACTGGTCCAGTTAATGGTTTGCAACATCACCTGTCGATCCCTGTGTAGAACACTCTTTGAACTTCCACTAAAAATCGCCTGGTGATTCTGTGAAACGATGTTGGCCTTTGTGTTAAATGAGAGGCCTGAATGGTAAAGCAGAACTGTATAAATGAAACGGCCAGATGTTCCTCTCTATCGACCATCCTTATCAGATCCTGAAAAGCCTGTTGGAATCCTGCTAATCAGCAATCTATTAATCAGGCCTGGAGATGTGAGAAGTACAGTATGAAGGAGTTAATAGTCTTGTAATGTTATTTTTAAGAGTTACAGTAATGGTTAATTATGTGTCTGGCCAGTCCTCAAGGGTATTTAATATTACTCAAAACCTAAAAATGGTTTCCAAATGTACCAATTGTCTGTACCTCTGTTTCAGGTAGCCATGAGTTTGTGAAAGTGCAGCCAAAAACTGTTTTTAAAAAATGTCACAATATTAAGGTTACAAATATAAACTTAAAGGTCCGGCTTGGAATGACTGTGGAGATCAGTAGGCCTGTGAACCACTCCTGCAAGTCGATGCAAAGCAGGGGTGTCATATTAATCATTCAAATGACCTTATAAGTAGTTGTCACCCTCTCCAATCACTTCATCAGATTATAAACCTTGAGACCTACACAGTGGGCAATATCAACTTTGTAATTATAATTAAGAGATATCAGATATCTTGTCAAGAGATATTTTGTTCATGCAGGCCAGAACACTTAATGTCTCACAGCCATTTTACTCCTGCAGTTGCACAATGATGCAATTTATTTGTCCTATCTGTTGCTTAATTTCCCTGGAAGTACACGGCATGAAAGAAGATGGAATGATAACCTATTTTACAAAGATGTGTAAACTACTTTGAGAATTCTCCACCTTTCACCAACAACAACAACAACAACAACAACAATAATAATATCCCATCAGCTGTGGATGGGCCAGAAAGTCAATTAGGGATGTTTGAAGTAACTCATTAGTATTGGTGCTTTCGTCTCATAAGATGTCAATCCACTCGTCTTTTTCTTTAAGAGATTTAACATCAGTTACACTGGCGATGATGCGGGCATAAACACGTACAGGCTTGCCTGCACTATGCGCTACAGGAAATAGTCTCGATACAAAATGTATACTAACCATATAAATTCTGACATTATCCTGCCGTGGGAGGCTATTTACTTAAAAAGGTTAAATTAAGATTAATTATTTCCAAAACATGCTTGACACATTAGATTTGTACAGATATTAGCCTATATCCAAATTGGGAATATCTTGTAGTAATGCATGCGTCTGACCGCAGGTAACTAAACAACGGGCAATGTAAAACTTTAAGTTCAAGAATAGAGTTTTCGTAATTATTTTTTAAAGGTCTAAAACTTTTGTAAACGTGTTCTCAGCAAAAGTCATCGCTTAAACGGAAATATTTACGTCTTGTTACGATTAGATGAAGTGGTGACCATTCGGTTTGTTTTGACCGCAACTGAGTATTTCTCCACTTATTATTAATAATAGTATTATAAAAATAACGGCGCCCACATTTCGAAGGACGAATGTTGTTTTCCAAACACTATCATCCCGTCGATTTTGTGCCTTTGGTGTTGTTAGAAGTCGTTTCCTTTTTATCTTCATCCACCTTCCAATGAGTCATCAACGAAGACAAGCATCGGGTAAATAAGCGGTGAGTTATTACAGTACCAGCAAATGCTACGTACAGCACCGGATCGGCCTGCCTTTCAAACAGCTTTAGCAGGTACGAAAGAAAGGAGAGAGAGCCGCTTCATAATTCCTGGCCGGTCAATCTGGCATCCAGGTTGCAGAAAATTACACAGCACCCTACAGGTATATCTCAGACGTCGGAGACCCCCTGTTTCTGAAATAATAATTATAAAGCTAAACACAAATCCTTATATGTAAATACGAACCACTGTTAATGAGGTGTAGCTGTATCACGTCGCAAAAAATCGTCTTCACGAAAACTAACAACGTGGTGTTATGAAAAGCCTTAAAAGTAAAGTAAAGATTTGATAGATGCAGTTTACGCGAGGATCTCTCCATAGCGCAGCATAGTTTGCTATACTGCTAAACACGTACCAAAATAAAAATCAAACTGAGAAGACCAAGCAATTTGTTAACTGAATAGTCACATGGGATAGTCATTGAAGAGCTCAACTCATTAAACACACAAAGCGCCTAAAATGTCATATGATTGTTAAACAGAAACTTAGGCTACTACTACCGCTGACATGGCTTAAAAATCAAAGCTAATTAAAAGATTTTTCCACCGTCATACAACTTACATATGTACATACACGTAATGCTGCATGCAATTTATACACTAAGTTCCGCTGTTATTAGGTTCCTGGTTAAGAATTTGCTTGTGACAGCGTCTTCTTCACGGGGCTTTTGAGACCCCCCAAAAACACGTAATGTCAAATTGGTGTTATGCCGTACCTTTTTAATACGGTGTCCTGTTCGTTATATGTGATCCAAAAGGAAATAAAAAGTTATTAGCGCGGCGGCGATAACGTATCTCTTAATAAAAACGGCACTTGCTTCGCACGTCTGAACATGCCGCCTACATCCATTTTTGCTTCTCCACTATAACAAGACCTTGACGGCTCTTTCTAAGCCTCTTGCCAGACATCAGTGGAAAAAAGGCAATGCAACGACACCTCCTTCCCTGTAGATTTTGCATGTGAATAAAAAAGAAAAACCAATCTTGCCTTTTGCGTCTTTAGCCCGCCTACTCAGTGAGAGACGTGCACTAGAGCCAATCTCAACTGCGCTTTCTTCTTCTCTAAGCCAGATGGTTCTGTTGTGGGACAGGCTTCATTTATTAACTAAGCTTGATTCGTTTATTTAGCTACTTAAAAACATCACTCATTGAGACAAATGAAACACTCCAGCGTGAATGATATCGCAACAAGGACACCAAGCTTCAGTTAGTAACCATTCCCTGCATCCATGGTGGGACATTATGTAACTGAGCAGTCTGGCTCCAGGAGAAAGTTGACATCGTGCAAAGACACAATTAAAGCTGTTTGCTGTAGTTACATTTCCTGCAGAAGTGATTCCATCTTCCAAATGCTTCTCCTGGTCAAGGTCATAGAGGGGGGGTTGGGCGGGGGGAGGCAGGTACACCCTGGATGGGATACCAGTCCATAGTAGGGCACCCATAAACTTTCACACTACCTAGCCTAGCCTAACTGCATGTTTTTGGTTGGTCTGAGGAAACCTTTGTATCTCAATGAATCAAAGCCCAACCCAGGAGATGTGAGGTGAACCTGCCACCCTCAGGACCCAGAACCATCTTCAGCTTTCTTCTGGCTGTGTGAAAAGATCAGTCACTCGGCTCTGTTGCCGAGACCATGGGTTCCAGACTAGAGTTTGGTTTGAGGAATATAGACTATAGTTATTGTATATCTTCCAGTCACTGGAGCACAAGTTCCAGAGCAATTGTATAAGTGTCAGGTGAATCTTAGCCAGTTCATTGTTAAAAACAGCCCTATGAGTCAATTTTAAATCAGTGGAGGAACTGCATTCTTGCCACCAGCAAACATTTTTGACCGTTGTTGACTATGGGGCTGTTCATTCTGGCCTAAACAGCCTGTCCAGGACGTGGGAGAACCCAGCCAAAGAGAGACTGTGGATCACTGCCATCTGCTGCATCAATCACACACTTCAGAAGAAGCGCATATTAAGGACAGTATGGCCTTGACTGCAGTTTGTCTTGATATCTAACAATGCCACAACTGAAACATGAAACCCTGCTCATGACTGGTCTTTAGCATCTGTAAACATCAACAAAAAGTCTGGAGACCATGCTTTGTAATACTAACTCCACCTACATTTAATTTCAGCACCCAAATGAAAGATTTAATGCTCTATTGAGAGAGCACAAGCTGCGATCTGCCATCGGAGGTCACCAGGAGCATTGCAGGAACAAACTTTCTTGTAAGACTCGAAGCTAAATGAGAGTCCATTTCATAGATGACCTCCGGAAAAAAAAAAACAAAAAAAACACAAAAGTGACAGGTGGCGTTACACAGAACATCTTTATTGGAATACACAGCTTTGAACAGTACATTTATTTAAAAGAAAGCATTTTAAAACACAACACTGAGTAGTAAGAGTTCAGTGAAGAAATAGGCAGAATCCTAAATACATTTAAGGCATCATAATCACCTATATTGTTTCCAAATACTTTCACATGTTCTGGTGATACAAAAATAACAATCAATACAAATAATTCAAGTATTCCTGCCGAAGGTTTTTTGTTTAAAACAAGTTGGTACTAATGTAGAAACAGATTGCTCAAAATCTTATGCCAACAAGGTGCAAAAAAACCAATCGTCTAAGACACCGTATCTACACACACAAACCACAGAACACCAGAGTCGCATGTGAATCCCTCGGAACGCTCCACGTGCCGCTCAGTTGAGCTAAGCTGAAATCCCTTTTACTCTTTTTTTTTTTTTTTTTGTGTAGTTATACATCACCTCGTCTTTATTTTACCAATTAGTTGATTTCCCGAAACCAACAGCGCCAACTAGAGGCTGAAAGACAACCTGCATGTCTGTAAAATTAAACAAAAACACTCCACAAAAATACTTTCATCTTCTGTGTTTGTTAATGCATGCCTCTTTTTTAAAATGACATCAGGAATCTGGTGAGACAGGTGTGAATTAAGATCAATGTGCTTGAAATCACACCAATATATTCTAATCCTGGAAAGCTGCCTTGAGTATCTACATTCTCGGCACGTTGGCAGGGTGAGTAGCACAGTCCCTCGTGCCTCTGGCAGGCACTTGAGCCATCCTATGTTTTGCCGTCTTTATGCAGTTTTGCCTAATTTTGCCATTTACAGATCCCAAACACAGTTGTGCACACAGAGCCCCCTGCTGGTTCAAATTTGCCAATTCCAAGCCTTGTCCTTTACGACATGGCACGAGTCAAGCTGCTTTATTGATGAAAAAGCACAAGTGATGTTTTTGGCCTGTTCCTGCCTTGAAATGACATACCTTTCACGTTCAGCTCTAAGCAAGATCAAATCATCTTGAAAAGGTAACATCAAGGCAACTATATTAGAAAAGTGTTACCCATAAGGCCATTGAATAAGTAATAAAAATTATTAACCGGAAGATCAAACTTGAGGGTCCTGGAAAAGAGCCTCTAATCTTACATACAGGCAAATCCCATTTGTTAGAGTAGGTTGGTTTTGTCTTTCAGAGTGTTTCAGGCTGAAATTCAATTTTATGATTGTTCAGCGGGGTCCTTGGCATTGGACAGCTTATAGCACCTAAGCTGTATATATATATATACACACACATACATACACACTGGTGAACATACAATATGCAATTTCCTAGAAGAGATGCTGTAGATACTTATTTGATACACAACTGACTAAATAATATAACACAAATCACAACAATACACAGGCAATAGAAACACAGATCTCTAGCTGGTCGCGTCCCAGATAGGATGGACTCAAACTGACAAGTACTACCTTCTGGTGTTTTTGCTTAAAGATGCATATTTTTATATTTCATTTTAAAGGTTTTAGAGAATCAAGTTATGCTTGCGTTGAACTAGCAATTATTCTAGATATTGAGAGCTGCATTTGTTAATTGTGGTGAGAATGACATATAAACTGAGATTCTTAGTTGTCTTGGAAGAAAAAAAAAATGGAAAATTAAACAGGCATGTCTTGTGTTCCAAAGGGACTTCCCATGGAACTTCACATTCCATGGGAAGTTAAGCTGGGGAATTTTGAAAATATTTCAAGTTGGAAACTTTCCATGGGAATTAACGAGAGTATATGAGAATTAACGGGAAAATTCCCAGAGTTTTGCAACCCTAGGCATAAACAGATTCCATTTTTGGTCAGCAAATTTGGAATATATAAAAATAAACTATAACAAATACTCAGTGCTTCAATTTAACCTTGCAGTGACATTACAGTGGAACCCAAACAAAAGCATTCTCACTGAAGGGTGATGAACTAAAAATGACTGACCTGAAAATCACAATGTCACTCAGTGATCTTGAGAGGACACTTTTACGGGACACACTGATAAGCTCAAAGGAAGTGCACTGCGAAAACACTGACCTGAGAAATCCTTAACATCACATAACAATGCTTCAATATCAAAGTAAAATGACTCAGTAACATGATATTTGTTTTGAAATTGTATAAAAAAATAGTGGACATTAGGGTATCAGAACAACTCAGTCGTTGCAGAAGGATAACCCACTTTTGTTGCTGTTAATATTAAATGAACTTCTTAGATATGCATAATTTGATCCCTACCTGTAAACAGGGCACTGCTATGTGGATACTATGAGTCTATCCCTATACTTCCTAGGAGGATTTGACTCGGAGAGGATCACCTAGCTGACAGAGACACATGGGCTTGACGCGGACAATCATTAGCAGTGAGCACATTCTACTAAAGCTCAAGGGACCTTCAGATAGACAACGAAAGGAGCAAATCAGTTTCTATCTATGCTATGATAAGTCCTTTTTCTTGTTCATAGGCCTAGTCTATGATGGTTTGAGACTTGGCCAGGGCTACGTTTCACAAGCGGTTTACAGTAATACTGAGGTTTAATGATGGACTGAGTCAGTGATGGGGGACGAGAGCTGTACTTGTGAACTGACCTGTTGTAGATATGTGCACTGTCGGGTACTTATGAACCTTAATGCAACATAAACAAGGATGCATGCCGGCCTCCAAACATATAGCTGACAGGAAAAACACAGCATGTGGGCGATAGGGTGCGAGTTTCACGCGGGAGCAGTCTGGCAATGCCACAGCAGCCCAGCCGACGAGGCGCAATGTGGCATTTTGGTGACGACTTCCTGTCAAGGACAAGAGCCACTCTCTCCTTTTCAATCCTCACTTTATCAAGCTGAAATGTCTCTTAGCAAAGATGGTTAAGGACTTGCTGGAGATAGCACTTAGCTTGAGTTTACATCTGATTGGGTAGTGGTAATGACAGTTATTATAGTGTAAGACCATTTTCGTCTTTGTATATTTATCATACATTATCTTTCTCCGTTTGGCAAACACACCCTTCTTCCTATTACAGAACACAAGCTGAAAGTATTATAGAATACAGTCTTCTTTCAATTATTATTTTTTTTTAATCCCTGGCTAGGTCTCCTTAGTGAGATCCCATCAACGGACCAGTAGAGGTTCTTTGAAACACTACTAAGATTAACACGTCAACATTCCACAAAGTTAAGAGCACAATCACAGGCTAATGACCTATCCAACACCAACAGCACATCTATTTACAATTTGCTACATCTCACTGGAGTTGGTCAGCTACACAATAGTTAACCACTCAATGCTACAAAATTACTTTGATATCTACGGGAAATCTACCAGGTACAGAAGGGCAAATCACACACAATCACATGAGAAACACTGAGAAACCCAGCTGAAGGTACTTGAGGTAATTCATGCGCTCTGATCACATAGTGTAACTTCCTCTTCAAAGGAGCTGCAGTCATCCTACACTTTCATTGTTGGAGTCACAGAATTATTCCAATGTGCATCTACATGGTCCATTGCAGCGGACTCTTGGACAAACACTACGAGAACTGAAGATAAAATGCCTTTTCCTCGGAGAAGGAGCTCCAGAATCTACGAGATCCTACTCCTGTCAAGCAGTCTTCAGTTTCCCTGGCAGTCTTGAGCTTAATAAAATCAACAAATCTATTACTACAAATATGTCTTTTGTTCATGGACTGGTTTTTCAGCCGAATCCAGTACTCCACAGAAGAGAACACTCATTCAAAAATGACACTGGATCCATTAACCATAACTAACTGACCAGCAGGCACACAATGCTGGGTATACATGGAGTCTCGGCAGATAATGTGCCTACTTGGTGTGTGATCTAGTCTCATGTTATGGTTTCACTACACTAATACTACACCGCAGTATTAATGCCCAGCTGTACAAATGAGTAAAATTGTATGTTTCTTTGGATTAAGGCATTGGCTATGTGAAGTCAAAACAAACAATTCAGTCTTATTTAAAGTTATTAATCTGTGTGCCTGTAGAAGACACTCCCTACAGAAATGAAAGGTCAAGGCGAATGACCAAAAGTTCAGTTCACCAACACAAATATACTCCTTACTACTTAAGCTGAAAACCCTGAGGTTAAAATTACTCCCCTTATGAGACTAAGCAACTAGTCAGGGAGATGAAAACTTTGTTCATCTTGGTTTGGGTACTTAAAAGGCTGAGTCATGACTTGTGTTACTCTTATGATTTAAGAAGTAGAAAACCTTTCAATCACCATCTAGATACTACATTGGTTTTTTGACATGACATCTTTGTAGTCTGATTGTTTGAGTGCATAACAAGGCCTGTATAGTATAGTTCTCAGGAAGAGATGAATTCAGGAGTATGACACACTGAAACATACCACAGGTTGAAAGGACACGGACCGAGCATTTGCGTGCCTGCTGGGAAGTGCTGCACAACCAGTGTCATAAAACCCCTGACTCCCTCTCATTGTTGTCGAACAGGATAACGGATTCAGTAAAAGGCTCTTTGGACTGTAAGAGGCTCTACAGACATGTTTGTAAGGGCGGATGGGGAGGCACCTCTGAAGATTCGAGACAATGTGTCTTTGAGATGGTCATGGGTGTGGAGAGGCTGGTGTTTGTTTGCCATGCTGGGGTCTACACATCCCACCCAAACCCCTACACCTTGCGACTGGCTCTCAGGATGCTGTCCAGCCCGCTGAGCTGCCGCAGGAATCCACGGTTGGGCACCACTCCGCGATGACCTTTCACAGTCTTGATAGCCTCCACCAGGGTCATGTTCTGCCGGATCATCAGGTAGGCCAGCACCAACGTAGCAGAGCGACTTACGCCCACGGCACAGTGAACCAGGATCTTCCCTGAAGAGCCCAAAGATAGAGAATCATCTCAAACAGGTTGCTGACCTGCTCAGTCCAAATCAGTTAAGTTCTTCACACTGGAAGATGGAACTACATACCAAAATATGCCGGTGAGAAGCCTAGAGTCATATTTCCCATAAGTCTGTGTGGGAGCCTTTCAATCTCAGATTTTAAGATTCTTTTATTTACTTATATGGCTCTTAACAATTGGGCACCCACTTGTGTCTGAACTTTTGGGGCACAGTGCAAACAGCACCCTCAGGCTTCCCGATCGGGGTGATCTTGTCGTGCTCGGGCTAGCAGAGCTTTTGCAACTACAGCCCAAAGGCTGCAGAACAGTCTACCCCTGGACATTAGATTGGTTATCAGTGTGGCCTGTTTTAAATTGTATCTGAAAACTTATGTACAGACAGGCCTTGCGTTCACGGTTCAATATCTCGTTTAGTTTTTGCGAAGCACTTTGTGACATGTTCTAGAAAGGTGCTATGTAAATTAATGACATTTATCTAGCTAGCTACCCTAAGTCTGAGTCAGACTGCGAAGCAATCCACTGATGTACATGAAATACTTAAGAATTCTGACGATAGTTTTAACCCCATAAACATGGGTTACATTGTTCTACTCCAGGAAGCATATCGCACTTGGCCATTTTTGTTCTAGTTGAGTTGACTTGATTAGCCTTCAAGGTCAGACAGTCTCTGCCGATAGTGATTATAAGTTTTGTGATTATGATTTTTCAGAAACTAGAATATTTTCAGTTAATCTAAAAATCAACTGTCTTTGTTGGTTTGGAAGAATTACAGCTACATTAAAAGAGGGTTCTGTTGCCTAGGGGCATACAAAAAAAAAAAAAAAAAAAAAAAAAAAAACACACAACAACTTCCCATCCCCTTTTGCAAAAGAGAATCTCACCCTGGGCCTGTACTCAACCTAATTCAACACGCCTTTAGTATACAGTCTATAATTTAGACATTTCAAATTGTAGTCCTTTTTCACATGGAATCCCCATTAATTTATCTGCCTCCTCTATATAATAGTTCTTGTTTTGAAGTACATAATTCATACAGTTTATAGTTCAATTGTATAGCCTCTTGTCCTGTGCAGGGGTCTCATGCGGAGCAAGACAGGGGAATAACCCAGGACAGGGTGCGACACACACACACACACACACACACACACACACACACACACACACACACACGAGTGAAACCAGAGTACCCAGGGCAAACCCTACAATGACAGGGGAAGAAAAAGCAAACTCCATATGCAGAACTGGGGCAGAACCCGGAACCTTGTTCTCCCGAGGTGCGAGGCAACCGGGCTAAACAATATGTAGCCCTAATCAGACAAAACATCACAAACCAAGAATCGATGAAGAATTTGGTTTTCATTTTGCAAAGCACACGTACCTCCACTGCAGAGGGCTTTGTGTATGAACTCAGCTGCAGGGTAGAAATTAACACTCATGTCAAACGTGGGAGAGTCGTGAGCCTCGATGCCCTGGTAGGTGATGCGCATGCCGCCGTAGTACTCGGCGCCGCCGCGCCACCTGCTGTGCGCGCAGTTCAGAATGTGCGTGATGCCCAGTCTGGATAATTCACGGCGGTCGGCTGCGATGTCCCTGCAAACGTTACACAGCTCAATTTCTCACTCACTCTCCCCCCACATGTATTTCATTCCGTTATTTTTATAGGCAAGATTAATATTAAAGGAAAACATGAAGTAGGAAAGCGTTGTTACGATTTGGTTAACCTACGTTTATTGAATTTTACCAGGACAGACAACTGTAGCCTTTCCATATTAGTATTGCTGTCCGTATTTACATTACAAGACAAGGAAACACATTATAATATGAGATATAGCGGTGTCCTTACTGATCCCCGATGTAGAGGTTCGGCCATACTTCGTCCGCGTGATTGCAGGCTGTCTTCCCCGTGCAGAGGAGACGCTCCAGCTCGGCCACGGTCAGCACCGAGGAGCCCCCGTCCGCGTCCTTTCGGCTCGGGGACCTGGAGCTGCTCCGCGACCGCGAAAACCTCGACATGAACGCCATCTCCTCAGCGGGAAATGTTGACTACTGCATTTAACGAAAGAAATAGTTAATTGCATTTCTTTTAAAAAGAGCAAAGCCGTGACGATCCACCAATAAAGTCAAAAGCAAATAACGCTCGTATCCACAGGTAGCCTGCAGATAAAATCGGTTTATGTAATTATTTGATTCTTAAATTATGTATAAGCTTCAAAGGCTGATCGCATATGCGTACATAGCCAACATACAGACACCCAGCTAAAACCATTAGATATTGCATTTATAACGATTTAGATAATACACAACACACTTATGTACTTTACATTTTACAGAACCTACCTCATAGGTTAATTTCCAGTATTAGAACATATAGAATGAATTCACATTAATTTTGTACAGAATATGCTCTTCAAACAGCATGAGTGCATTCTCTAAATAAAATACCGCAACACGAACCGCTTTCTAGACAATTAATATCACTCCAGCATTTGCCAGTATCGTCGGCGTCTAGCTATGAAAGCAGATTCCAAAGATTCCAACCAAACATCCCTTCGAGCATCACGACACAAGCGAAAGCGGGACATTTTCTGATTTATGCGTATTACTATGAAATACTGCTGTGCTCTGCTCCCCGTGGTACCTGCAATGTTTAAATCCGTGGATGCCCTCACTTCTGGGACGAATATTCCAGCACCCGTCAAGAAGCCATGTTTCTGCCCTGCCTCCATGTCGAATGGCCGATTTAAATCAGCGGGCAAGAAAGGGGATATCGATTCTCTTATATCGTAATATAATCAATACGGTAATAACAGCAAAATGTCTTACCGGTTAAAAACGTGTCGACGTATTTTGTTTTACCCATTCATACAGAAATACTCGAAAGGGACACACAAAGCTTAAATTCACCCAACCGTGTTATCATAAATTACCTTGGCAAAACACAACTCACCTACGCAGCATTAGTTACGGACTCTCAAAATACAGCACGTACGATACGGTGACACTATTATAATTGAAATATATCGTAAAAATGGGAGCCAGGATTATTTCATCATAATAATAACAATAATAAACAGACACCCACAAATCAATACCAGAATAATAATAATTGTCCAGCACTTCACAATGGCAATTGAATACATAATGTTATAGGTAAAAGATGACATTTTGTCAGGGGGTCAGAATTCCCAAATACGTTTAGAGATCACTTTTTAAATGAGCACATTAATGGGAGTTCTAATGTAAACCAGCTTTGTAGCTTTATTGACTATTTACTATCACCTCGTGTTTATTTTACATGATTACACACTTATTGACGCCACAATCTACTAATTACCCCCCCCCGCCCCCGAAATGCTTAAAACGTGAAATCAAATGAAATCAAAATCCTCAGATTCTGTCAGCGATTATGTGTAGTCGCGGTGGAAGCAACAGGGCTTCTGAAATTGCGGGAAGAACAATTAGCAGATGGGCTGACCTCCGCTCGTCATCACCCAAAGGCATATATTTGTGTTTTATAGACTCCATTAGTTGACCTTAGGCCCATTTTTCAGAGAGTAGTTTATTGATTGAAATGCATTACTTGTGTTCTTGAATGCGGTTGACATTTGAGTTACAATGATGAAGTTACATAACGTGATAACGCCCTGTATCTTTAAAAAGCAAATGATGAGAGTCTATTTTTATAACCCAATATGTTTTGTAATTTACTTGATTGACTCAGTAAATAAATCTACACCTGTCTTGTAGGTCTCAGGTATTCAAAATATCACTTCTGTAGCATTGCCTTGCTCCATAATAAAACAAAATAAATGTGACACACACGCTGAATTGGAAATTGTTTTACGACAAACTGGCATTTTTGAGAAATAAACTTCATATTTTCATCGTGCGCAACGCAGTTGTGTAATTTCTCGTCCATTAGTTTAGCATATTTACGGCGTTCCCGTAAACGTGCTTAACTTGGCTTACTCCGTATTTTAGCAGTTAATCGGTTTGTTGCAGGTGAGACGTGTCTCACCTGTGATTGGCGGCCTAAAAAGAGTTAAAAGGATGTTACCCTCTTAGCCTCTATTTGCAATCATCATTTGAAACGATTCATGGTCTAACAGTGAAGACATCTGTTTGAAATATAATTATGATGAATTATATGCCTGGGACTGCGAGCCTCATTGAGGAAATTGATGGTAAGTCCAGTGGGTGTTTTGTAACATTGCTGAATTAACGCCACGGACGGCTCAATTTAAAAACTTCGATTATTGTGCGTTTTTTTTTTTTACCACTAGCCTACTAGCATTTCCGTGTAATCTAGAGACGCCGCGGTATACGCGCATCTCAAAACATTGTGCACCGACAGAAGGCCCGTCATGGGCTCAAATGACAAACAATAGCTTCTTGTCCATAAATCTGAACAAACATTTATTTTTATCTTTCAAGGTAACTACACCATGTGCTCATTGCATGTGTACAATTTCTTTTAACTTGGTGAGAACCGTTTGACCTCGAATGAGTTAGAGTACGTACGCTACTACTTTTTAAATTCGTCTTCGTTAAGTTATTCGGAAATGTATGAACTTTACCAAACACAGAGACATTAAGTAATATTAGTTCAGGGGAATACGCGCAGAAAGACTGACCTCTTTGCAAGGCGCACATATTTACATGTATACGAAACGCATTACTGACATCTTAGGACTTGTACAGTCAGTTTAGTGCATTGAGTTGACTTGTTACAATTTCCAGAAAAACACCTGGTCCTTCTCCGTGATGGAAGAACATTGATTGGATTCCTTAGAAGCATAGATCAGTTCGGTACGTACGTAGATTTTCTGACACCCCCTGCACTTGAAAACGATTAACTAGGCTACAATGACTGTTTATAAATCCGAATTTCGAATATATTTTCATCATCTTTTATTTTGGGGACAATTTTATGTGTCATTTTGAAAATTGGGTTAGAAATTTTTGTTAGACTTGAAATAAGACCAATTAGCAAGTGTGATTGTGATAAAGAAAATGAGCGGTCTAATTGTTATGACGCAGTCTCTTGTGTTTCATTGCAGCCAATCTAGTTCTGGATGAAACTGTGGAACGTATCCATGTTGGCAAGAAGTATGGGGACATTCCCAGAGGAATATTCGTTATCAGAGGGGAAAATGTCGTCCTGCTTGGAGAAATTGTATGTGTCCTTGTGCAATATCAGTTAATTACAGGACTAGATTTCGGCATTGGTGCACTGTTATAGAAATTGAGTGTTAGCGATAGGCTATATTTTTGTTTAATAGCTAATGCTGATATCCTCTGAGCCTCTCGCAGAGCTGGGAGGTTGCCAGCGCAGATTAGCAGAATGACGTTACATCATCTTTTACACTGTGGAAAACAAAAGACTGATCTGTGGCAGGCTTGAACTGGCCATCTGGGCATTTTTCTGGTGGGCTGACGGGTTTCTGGGTGGCAATTTTGGTGAGCCTGTCTGGGCAAAAGTCCAGGGCTGATTATTAAACCTGATCCGCACGAATACCAGTTGATACCAACATGTTTAGCGATACTGATTTTCTTAAGCAAAAATATAAAGTAGTATAATTTAGCACACAGCTGGTGTGTGTTACAGTTAAAGAAACACAACTGTATGTTATACAAGGTCTTGAAATTCTTGTCGGAAATGCCATTCATCTTCCCACATGAGAATCCTTGAACTTGTACCATCTTCTCAGGACCTGATCAAGGAATGTAAAAGAGTGCTGCGGCCAGTGTCCATTGAGGAGATCTTGGAGGACCAGAGATGCCAGCAGCAAGCAAAGCAAGAAGCAGAAAAGACGAAGCTCCAGGTCCTGAAGGAGCGGGGCCTGTTTGTTCCCAGAGCAGACACACTGGATGAATACTGAGCAATTTGTCGTGTTATTGATTATTAGCACAACTACTCATTATTTTGTCATCTTGATTTTGTAATCCTGAATTTGACCTTTAAGAGGTCATAGCTTCTGGGGTTAGATGGGGTAATAAAAGACAAACTCTTATCTCACCCAACAAGTAACTACGAGAATTTTGTCCGATAGCATTCTGACTTAAGTGTGTGTGTGTGTGTGTGTGTGTGTGTGTGTGTGTGTGTGTGTGTATATGTATATGTATATGTGTATATGTGTGTATATATATATGTATGTATGTATGTATGTATGTATGTATGTATGTATGTGTGTGTATATATATATATATATATATAATTAGAGAGAAGCATTTGTTTTATTACATTTCATTGGACAACTGGAACAACATGAGCCTTATTTTTGATGCTGTAATTTATTTTCTATGTAATTGTTTTATGCTGTGTAAAGGATAGAATGCCTTTGTCAACGCAGTGAGACTGTTTTTCATTCAGTATTTTTGTTCAAATACAAATTGCTTTTGCAATATTTTTGAGCATTCAGACATTCAAAACATGGTTAAGCCATGGTTTGCCCTGAAGCGGCATGGGTATGCTTTTCAAATTTTCCTTTGTGTTATTCATAAACACAAATAATTATTCTTCCTGTGGCCTGTACGACAAAATCCAAAGCTTTTATGCATAAACAATAATTCCTGATGTTAAGTTATTTATTGGTGCACAAGTTGACAAATGTAAGCTAAAGTCATGTTAAAGCATTTCTGCTATCAGCCAGTAGTATGACTGAAACGCTGTGACCACAGCATTGGCCTGAGGCTGAGTGTGCAGGATGGACTCGGTGCTAATTCGCGTAAATTTTTTTACCGTGTAGCATCATTTCAGTGCAAAAATCTGTCATCTTTACGATCCGTGAACGACTCGGTGAAAATATTCCTGCCCAGTCTTGTGTGGTTTTGTTCATGTATGGATTGTTTGAGAATAACGATTACCTCACTTTTTTTCGATAGGTGGCGCCAGAATCTTACTTGCAACGGGCTTTGGGGGCCAACCAAGTCGTAATTGTAAATTTAAGCTTCCATGACAGAAAACGAAGAAGAAAAGGCAGATTTTCTACTAGAAGTTGATCAAACACTGCATTCCTTTTAATTCACTTCGAATTGAACATATTACCACTGTAGCAAACCGGTTTGCTTTGGTTCTTTGTGCAGTTTAAAAATATGCTGTTGGGTGACTCTAAATCACTTTCCTTAATGGTAGTTTGTGATTGATCCATTGTCAGTGAGTGTGGTTTATAAAAATACTTTTTGTAAAATTTGTTTAAAAAAAGTAAAGATTTCAGTCGTGATAATGACCATGGAAATGGGTCTTGAGGCTAAATCAGTTGAGAACCACTGCAGTGTATGAGCAGTACGAGCTTGCAGTGTATGAGAGTATACGAGCAGTATGAGCTTGCAGTGTATGTGAGTGTATGAGCAGTATGAGCTTGCAGTGTATGTGAGTGTATGAGCAGTATGAGCTTGCAGTGTATGTGAGTGTATGAGCAGTATGAGCTT